TTTACAATAAAGAATCTAATTATTTCCATAATTAATTATTTTATTTAACAATTTCCAAGACTAAGTTCCTCCTAGGAACTGCCATTTCTTACCACTAGATGTTCTTGGTTGAAGAGTTTGTGCAGCTGTTCTTCTATTTTTCTCTTCTCAGCTTTAGTTTTCTGTAAGGAATTGAGAGCTTCCTCACCAAATTCTCTTTTCAGTGTGGCACTAATCTTCTCTCCTGGATCCACCATGCCCTAAGAGTCACATCAAAAACAAAAACAGAACTAATAAGTTTTGAATCATTCAATAAATACTTATTGAGTCGTTTGTTCTGTTTTGTCCCATAATAGTGATCATGAAAGAACAGGAGTCACTGCTATGGAACAGAAAGACAATGTCTGCATCACTCTTATTCTTCTAGGAGGTGAGCCCTTGAGTACAGTGGTTGAGAACCTGGCTGTCAGCAAAAATGTCAGTAGTTCAAACCACTATAAAAAATGTGGACAAAGTTGTGGCAAGCTGCTGCTTCCCCACAGATTAAGACAAGACTAGGGCAAGGAAAGTCAATCAGAATCCTTTCCTAGTATTTCAAATTAGCTAAGGAAAAAGGAGCCCTATTAGTGTTGAAAGAAACATATTAGATTATTAAACCAAAGGTTAGTGGTGCAAATCACCACCATGGGAGAAAGTGAACAGTCTTCTCCTTTAAAAAAACGCAACTTGTTTCTGCCTTAGAAAGCAAACAGAGAGTCAGATGAGTCAGAATTGACTCAACAGCAGTGGGTGTGGTTTGGGTAGTAAGGAGAAGAGTACAGGATGCTCTCTACATTGTTTAATCTGCTGCAGCCACATGACCCCCTTAGTGCTTCTACGGCATGGCATGCCAGATAGCTTTCTATGCTATACTCTCCTTAGGGTCTTTGCAGGTACCATTATTTCTATCCAAGCAGGGGTAACATCCATGCTGCTTTCCCCAGATGTCCATATGGTTCATTCATTTACTTCCTTGGATATTTTCTTAAAGGTCATCATTTTATGGAGAATTTCTCTGATCAGCCTAATCTAAAATTGCAAATTTTGAGTATCCTATTCAAGGGTCAACTATGAAATAGTTTCAATTTGAAGGCAATGAGAGAGAAGAATCCCACTTTTAGTGTTTTCTTAAGTACTGATCAGCCAACACATAGCATGCATATCTTATGTACTATTGGTTTCCTATTAGAATATGAGCATTGATGGGATAAGTATTTTTATGTTTCTCTGTTATACTTTGAATGTCTAAAATATAGTTGGCCATGGACAAATATTAAAAATCTATTGATATGGGAGCTCTGGTGGCCTAGTGGCAAGACGCTGCACTGCAATCCCAGAGGAACACGGCTCGAATCCACCAGATGCTCTGCCGGAGAAGGAGGCGCAATATCCTCCTGTACCAGTCAGATCTGATTTGACTGTACATGCACACAAAATAATAAGAAATTTTAAAAAAAAAATCTATTGATGAGTGACTAAATATATCATCAATTAAAACCATTCTTTGATCATAATTTTAAATGACATCAATAACACAAGGTTGCAAAGGCATGTGGTTTGAATCCACCAGCTGTTCCGCAGGAGAAGGATGGGCAATCTTCTCCTGTGTGATTAACCGCCTCTGAAAACCCACTGGAGGGTCCGCTATGGGCCGGTTCTGACTAGATGACACACAACATGATGTAATAATGTAATGAGTAAAGTCAGACTATCTTGGCTTCTGTGAATCAGCTTGAGAAGCTCTAGCGGTATAATCTACAGAAACTGAGCTGTTAAACTAAAGGCAGCACCTCTTCAAGTGGCTCAAATCTACCAGTCATTCTACAGGGGTAAGATGGGCACTCTCCTCCTATATGATATACAGCCTCTGAAAACCTAACGGAGGGTCAGCTAGGAGTCAATTCCAATAGCAATGACTTTGAGTCTTTTGTTTTTTAATTAATCTAGACAGATCTAATGGCATAATCCATAGAGTTGTGCTGCTAATCCATAGGCTTGCCTTTCTACTGGCTGGAAACTGTCAGCAGCTCCAGGGGAGAAAATGGGAAATTTTCTCCTATGCCATTTCTTGTTTTGGTATGTGCCACTGCATAAAAAAAAAGACTCATAGCTAAACCCCTAATGGGTTTTTAGAGGCTATAAATTGCCCAAGAGGAGACTATGCATCTTCCTCTCATGAAGCAACTGGTGGATTAGAACTGGGTGCCAAACTAAAATCGAGTTGATATTCCCTTATCACTAGATCACCAGAACCCCTTCCTGTACTATTTACAGTCTCCCAGAAACCTACTGAACTGACCTGATAGCTGGACAATGACTAAAGATGTCAAGAGAATCGATGCCTTTGAACTGTGGTGCTGGAGAAGAGTACTGAGAACTCTATGGACTGGCAAAAGAACAAACAACTGTCTTGAAGAAAGTGTAACTAGAGTGCTCCTGAGAGGCGAGGATGATAAAGCTTCATCTTAAATACTTCAAGGCATGTTGCTAGAAGAGGCTATTCTGTGAAGAGGGGCATTATGTTATTGGAAAGGGAAGGTGGAGCGTCAGCAAGAGAAGAAGACCCTCAACCAGATGGATTGACAGAGTAACTACTGCAGTGGGCTCTAGTTTGTCAGAGATTGTGAGGATGCACAAGATAGGACAGGTTTCAGATCTGTGGTGAATGGGGTTGCTATGGCAATTCAACGGCACCTACCACCAACAAAATAAACCCACTCAAAGTCCATTTCCAATCAATAGTAATGAGTTTTTAGTCTAAGCTTTTATCAGAGACAGCTGAAATCTTTATTGCCATTTCACTTATATACAACTAAGGGGGAACCAGAAAATCATTCTTCCAGATAGCTGCATTTACAGAAAGTCACTCTCACCTCTATCTTTATTATTTCACAATATGACAAAATATCTAAAACTCTCTTATTTACACATACATCATTTTTAGAATCATTCAAACTATATGAAGTCAACAAAAGTACATTCTTCTTAGTAACATTGTCTTGAGAACTTCACTGCTGTCAAGTGGAAACAGACTCATAGCTGACTCTGAGGCTAAAAACAGCACCGGGGGAGACTGCCAACCGTTCTCCATTGGTGGATTCAAATCGTCAAAAACTGCTGCCTTTGGGTTGTCAGTACAACCTCCTACAGACTACACCACCAGAGCTCCCAAATGACACAATTAACTTAAAAAAAAAACCAAACCCAAAACACACCAAATCTATGAAGAACTGTAAACCAAAGTTATCCTTTTATTACATATAAAAGTAACAATTAATTTAAAAAGCTAAACATTTTATGCTGGGGGCAAAGTATATGAAAAAAGTCCTGAGAAGGGACTCAACGTCAGTGAATGCCTACTATGTAAACAAATCTTAAAAACCCAGTTGCCACAGCGGGACTCCAGGTCATGGTGAACCCACCTGTGCCAGAACACAAGAATACAGCTGTGCCCCAGAGGCTTTTCAATGGCTACAAGATCTTTCAGAAGTAGATCACCCTGCTTTTCTTCCAAGATGTCTCTAAGCGAATACGTACTATCAATGTTTATATTCCAGACCTTACACTTTTGTGCCATCCACTGACTTAAACAAGATTCTCTTTATTTTAAAGATGAAGGTCTGACCTCAATATCACTCACTGAAAAGGCAGGATAAAAACTTAGATCTGATTTTAAAATTCCTGTTCTATCACTTTAGTTTTAGAATCAGGCTAAGATTCTAAAACTTTCTATCATTCTAAACTTCTTAAAAATAATGGCACTTCAGTATAGAAATGAAAGACACAAGAAACTATATCGAAGTGGAAGAGAATAAAGTAGAAAAATCTACACACAGTAACTGGTACTAAGTAAAGCAACTAGGAAGAACTTAAAAAAGCAATTTGATTTCATTTTAATGCTTACCCCAGGGATTGCCCATTCTCCACAGTCTTTCCTTTTTATGGCAACAAATTGTAAAATGTTTTTTCCAGAGACGGGGTGAGCAATTTTATTTCCACTGCTATCTCTTTTCCATCTGTAAATAATAGTAAGACCGTAACCAATTCAGAACGAAGACCAAAGTGCTACCTAAAGTTCAGGTAAAGATAAAAAGATTTCTTTTCCTTTATAATAGAGTATATCTAAATTTACCCCAAATCAGATAGTTTTAGAAAATCTACTTTTTATTAAAAATATCCAATATTTAGCATTATTACAAATCAGAATGAGTGTATTTTACATAAAATATATTCTTGTTTAAAAATTCAGAATACAAACCTTTTTACCACTATAGATTTTATTTTTACCACTATAAATTTTATTTAAAAAAAAATTTAAGCAGAATTGGATTTGAAAGATCAGAAAAGTCAAAACCCCAAAACATTTATAAGAATTGAAGATTGTTAAAATGCTCTAATACATGTTTTTAACAGTTCATCTTCTATTATTATCAGAAAAGTATGATACATGTTTCATTGGTCCAAAAGCAACAGCTCTCAATCAGTATGTCCTCTTGTGATAAGCAAAGAAACAAGTATAATTTCATTTTATATTTTGAATTAGAGAACATATTTTTCAAAGCATTTTAATGTAATGCTAATTTTCGGATATACTTTCTCTAACTACAAGCCTTTCCCAAGAATGGTAATAAATCTCCTCCTCTTCTTTCCGATTTCCTACCACCCATACCCTTACCACCACATTCACTTTGCCTCTACAATTTTAAATATTGTTTAAATGGTCCCTTCTGCAAAGAGAAAATTGTTGAATTTTCAATATTAAACAAGAATGAGACTTCATGAAATACACTCACAGCAACCCTCCATTATATTTCCAGGATTTATATCTCCATTATAAATCCTGACTGCAGAAGGCTGCTCATTTCACTACCATGGAGTGACTGGTGGATTTAATTTGCCAATTTTGCAATCAGCAGCCTGACATAAGACCAACTACACAAATAGGGGTATTTCGTTTGAATACTTCTATTAGGGAGCTCTGGTGGCCTAGTGGTAAGAAGCTGTGTGACAATCATGAAGGCATGTGGTTTGAATTCACCAGTTGCTCCATGGGAGAAGGATGGGTTCCTCCAATGCAATTAATTGCCTCTGAAAATCTGCTGGAGGTTCAGTCATGGGTTGGCTCCAACTCAACAGTGCACAGTAAAAACTATGAAATTATGTTGTATTCACCACTTTGGAGAAAAACAAAGTCTCGTAAGAATGTAAAGTTACTTACTAAAACTAAAACCAAAAAAACCTAACAATATTGAAAGTATATGTGTTATCTAAAGAAAGAAAGTGACAATGTTGGTCAGTGAAGAAATCTTAATTTAACAAGATGATTCCTATTGAGCTGGCTAACTCACTTGCTTTCTTTTCTTTATTCTGATTCATGTTTGTCAAGAGACCTTCTGAGCTATTTGGTTTACAAAACAGATCCATGTCAAGAAAGAAAGAATGCCTTCCATTCCATTCTCACCTCTACTCTCCAGACGGGCCCTCTCTAAGAATGTTTCTCTTGCTTAATAAACTCTCTTCTATAAACTTTCCTCTGTCTTAATAACCATTCTTGTTTTTATCTTCCACCTCTTCTTAAGCTTTGAATATCTCCAGCTCCATTCCTTAACTTGGCATTTAATATTATAAAAATTAATTTTATCACTATTTGACATAGCGTATTATATGTTAAGCTGTTCACATGACAAAGATGGGACTGTCACTTCCTTTAAAGACTTACAACCTTGGAAACTTGGATACAGGGCCATCATGAGTCGTAACTGACTCAACGGCAACAGAGTTCTGGGTATACTCCTTCAAGAACCTTCTGTTTCAAACAAACTGATCTTTTCACTGCCCTTCAATAATTAATCTTAAGACTCTTGCTGTCCCCTTATCAAAGAATCATACCTAGCTCAAGTCTACCTCCTTCACAATGCCTTTATTGAATGCTTCAGTTTGTCATTCCTGACTTCCAATTTTGTCAGGTATCCTGTTATCATCCATTTTTCTTATTTATATTTTCCATTATATAAATGATGCTATAGCTCATCAATGATATTGTTCTTGTTATGTGTCAGAGACTCAACTACAAGTCATAGTGACCAAATGAACAACTCTGAACTTTATCCGAGCTTAAACTAATCTCACTGTCTCTGACAAACCTGCCTCCATTGCCAAAATCACTGTGTCAATCCATCTCTTCCAGGGTTTTCCTCTTCTGTGTTGACTCTTTCAAGCATGATGTCCTTCTCCAATGGCTGGTCCCTCCTGGCAACATGCCAAATATATATGTCAGATGGAGCTTCAAAATCCTTGACCCTAAGGAGCAACCTGGTTTCATCCTCTCCAGGATAAACCTGTTTGTTCTCTTGGCAGTCCACAGTATGTTCAGTACTCTTCTCCAGCACTACTCAAAGGCTTCGATGTTTCTTCTGTCATCCTTAATCACTGTCCAGCTCTTAGATATACAAGTAACTGAGAAGAACATGGCCTGGATCAGACACACCTTAGTCTTTAGACTGACATCATTGCTCCTGAGAACTCTGGAGAGATCACCTACAGCAGAAGTCCCCAAAGCAATCATCTTTACATTTGCTGACTGCTGGTGCCGAGTGTTAATTGTGGACCTGAGCAAGATTAATCTATTCTCCATCTCTCATGGATGTTGCCAAGTGCCCTTGGTGGTAAAAATATTTTTTTTTCTTAATGTTGAGATGCAATGCATATCGAAGTCCTTAACCTTGTGCAGCAAACACTTCATGTCCAACTCAGTTTCATTAAGCAAGGTTCTGTCATCTGCATATTTTGCAAGTTGTTGATGAGTCTTCCTCTAATCCTAATGCCACTTCCTCTTCATTAAGTACAACCTCACTAAAGATCTGTTAAGCATATAGATTGAAAAGGCATGGAGAAAGGACACATCCCTGATCTACTCCTTTTTTTATTTTGATCCATGCAGTGTTTCCTTGCTCTGTTTTAATGAATGCTTCCTAGTCCAAGTTTTGCATAAGCACAATCAAGTGTTCTAGGATTCCCATTCTTCTCAATTTTACCCACAATCTGCTGTGATCCACACAATTATTTTTGCATAGTCAATAACACACAACTAGACATTCTTCTATTACGCTCTGCTTTCAGCGAAGATCCATCTGAAATTGGTACCGATTTCCCTAGTGCCACAGTCTTTTCTAAACCCAGCTTGCACTTCTGGCAGTTCTGTGTCAATGTAACTATCCCAATCATTTGTGGATAAACTTCAGCAATATGTTGTTTGCATATGATATTAGTGATATTGTTTGGTAATTTCTACACTTGGTTGTTATGAGGGGAAGACCCTCTATGAGGTGGACTGATTCAGTGACTGGGGTAATCGGGATGGGTGTGTCAGAGGCCATGCGATTGGCACAGGATAGAGCAGGATTTAGGGCTGCTGTACATAGGGTCGCTATGAGTCGCAAATGACTCGACAACAACAACACTTTGCTGGATTACCTTTATTGGGAACGGTAAAAATATGGATGTCTTTCATTCAGTTGGCCAGGTAGTTTTCCTCCAGGTTTCCTGGCACAACCTGGTGAGCACATCTCGGCTGCATCTGGTTGTTGAAATACATCAATTTGTATTCCATCAATTCCTGGGAATTTACTTGGCCAATTCCTTCAGAGCAGCTTGAATTTCCTCCTTTATCACCACTGCTTCTCAATCATATGCTCTTTCATGAAATTCTTCTTCTATGTTAGTCAATTCTTTTTGGTACGATGACTCTGTGTACTCCTTCCATCTTCTTTTGGTGATTCGTAGAGCATTCAATATTCTGCCCACAGCATCTTTAAATACTACAAGTCAAGACTTGAATTTGTTCTTCAGTTTAAGAAATGCTGAGTGTGTTTGTCCTTTTGGTTTTCTAAGATTCTTACTTTTTTTAATATCCTCCAGATAACCTACTCAATGCTGAGAGCAAATAGATGCTCAATATATGGTGAAATAAACTTTGTTTAATGATACTGAACTTTCTATAATATAAAATTGTGGGTTTACATTTACATTGCTATATTTGCATAAATCCCTTTATAGTGGGTGCATGCATATGCATTGTTAATGTCTTTATTCTTCTGATTCATTATGTCTTTGCTTCTGAAATGTTTCATTTGATTCTTACCTAGTTATGATGGGATCTGCAGCATGATTGGGGCCCCATCTCCCCAGAAGGCCCCGGCCAACAAGTCCCGTTCTGCCTGCAGGATTTCTGAGGGGAAAGGAAAGAAATAAAATTAATGTATGTATCCTTAATGTGCTCAACATGATAGGTCCTCAAAAAACTGTGAAAGAAATAAAAGGACAATAATATCTCCTCACAAGCCCAGCAGCATTGTCACGTATCTGGCACTAAACCCATTATAAAACTTCTTTTACAGTCTAAGAATTTGTTTCCATTTTTACTATTAAATTCAAACTAGAATCTCAATGTAGTCTTGGAACTTTCTAAGATGAAATGTTTTGCACCTAATCATCTCTCTCTCCAACACTCACAACTGATTTTCTGGGATATCCATCACTGCCTTTTCCTATTCCACCCTCTAATCCTTGTTGTTATATTTTTAAGTCCTTCTCCTCAGGAGGTACTGAATTTCACCACCAGTAATTTATATGTTATAGCATAAATTACTACATATTTTATAGGTTTCCAGAATAAAAACACAAATTTTAAAGTAATTTTTATATAAACATCAACTTACTAGTTAACCTAATGTCAACCAATTCTAAAAGGTATGCCAGATAAACACATTAATACTCATCCCTAAGTAATTTTCTTACAGCTTATATGCTTTAAATATTCCATTTTCATTATACACCAGTTAAATGCTCTAACATACAGCCATATCTATTTAACGCTTTCTTTTGTCCTCTCACTACATAAAATAATTTGTAAAAATTTTTATTTTTAAATTGTTGAGTGCCGTCGAAATTTTTATACATATTTTTAAATTCTGTTTTTCTATAACTGCTATTAAAAAAAGGAATGGATTTTTATACTGCTTGGCAGTAGATGGAAAATTTTTCAGCAAGAATTGCAAAGACAAAGCCAGCTGACAATAGTACTATTTTTTCATATCCTAGGAGTGGCAGTGTAGACTGTAGCTTTGCTGTATTCCACATATCCACACACTCCTTAACATGAATGATCTAAGGTATTATTAAGAGAGAAAATGTTAGTTTTTATGGATTAAGTCAACAATTTATAAACTAGAAGCTACAGATTAAACATATAAACTACTTATCCTTAAGCATGAGACACAGAGGTTGTCTTGCATAGTCAGAACTGAAGCCAACATATAAAGAAAAGCAGATATAAGACGGACAGTCTTGATGGATTTGCAATTATACTTTTTCCTAAAGTTAGTATTAACCAAGTATCATTGTAGTTAGGAGCTATCAAACTGGTTCAGAGTCTTATCAAGACTACGTGCATCAGAAGAAAATAACCTCTAGTCCTGTGCCATCATCCTCACAGGCAGCTTCAGCCACTGCATCAATCCATTTTGTTGAGGGTTGTCTTCTCTTTTATTAACCTAGCACTAAATTCTACTTCAGCCAGTAGCCTCTCATAGTAACATGCTAAAAGTAAGTGAGATCCTCTCCTCTAAGGAGCATTTGTGACTATACTTGTTTCAAGACACATTTGTATTTTTAGCAGGTCATAATATATTCAACATTCTTTGCCAACACCATAATTCAAAGGCATCATATTTTTTTCTGTCTTACTCATTGTTCACCTTCCACATGGATATGAAGTTGCTGTGTTTGACCTAAAACATGTTACTTTCAGCCACGTGACACTATAAAGAGAACTATGCAATACACCCTTTCATTTCTTGACTGCTTCTTTGATGAATGCTGACTATGGAGCCAAGTTAAATTAATTACTTGACAACTTCAATCTTTTCTCCATATACCATGATACTGCTTCCTGGTATAACAGTGAAAATATGTTTCCTTTATGGTAAACAATAATAAAAGTTGTAGTCTTTTATATTCATCAGTTAGTGCTTCAAGTCCTCTTCATTTTCAGGAAGCAAGGTGATTGCTATACAGGTTGTTAACAAATCCTTCTATAGATACAAACACTCTAGAAGGCAGTTTGACATTTCCTCAAAATGTTGAATATAAAAATTCCATATCATCCAGCACCCCACTGCTAGGAATATAACCCAAGGAAAATAGAACTGAGTACACTGATGTTCATAGTAGCATTTTTCATACAGCAAGAAAATGGCAACAGTCCAAACATCTATCAACAAATGAATGTATTGAGAAACTACGGTACTTTTACATCATAGAATACTATGCAGCACTCAGGAGCAACGATTTTGAAAAATACTATGTAACATGGGAAAGGCTAGAAACCATTATGCTAAGTGAACTAACTCAGTCCCATAGGACAAATACTGTATAAAACCATTAAGGTAATAATAGAAGGATAACCAGTAAGATGTATTTAAAAGTCCAAAGGAAGGGGAAGTGGCAGGGGTGATGAAAGTAAGGAGGAAAGGACATGATGGAGTTGCAGAGTTTGGTGGGCAAAGGGAGATGGTGAAAGAATTAGGAAAGATCTAGTGGGGATCTGAAAAGACAAGGTAATACTGGGTATAGCCAATGGTGATTAATTTTATAAAACACAGTGTATGGGAATGATGGTATGAAACACAATGTGAATGAAGTATGAAACACAACGTATATGAATTTGTATGCAAACCAATATAAAATAAAAATAAATTTAAAAAATAAATAAATACATCCACAAACTATAAGCCTCCTTTTGTTTTATTTGGACATTCTAATTTTCTCCTGGTGGTACAGTGATTAAGTCTTCAGCTAAGTGGATGGGGGTTCAAACTCACCAGCTGCTCTGTGGTCATCTAATTCTATAAAGGTTTACAGCCCTGGAAACTCTATGAGGTACTTCTACTTTGTCTTATAAGGTTGCAATGATTTAGAATTGATTTGATGACAAGTGCTTGTCTGTATCTTCTTAACTTTTAAAATATCTTAAGAAAAATGGAAAAAAATGTTCTTTTCTAGAAATTCATTTCTAAAACTATGGAAAGATCACTGATGTTTAATCATTGTTCTGTTTGGTTTGGGTTCATTTCCTCTTACATATTTAGATAAAGTCTTTTTTAAAAATTATTATTAAATTTTATTAGATAAAGTCTTGTTTTTAAGACTGTTAGTTGCTGTTTTGTGATTCATGGCAACTTTATTTTTAAAAGAACAAAACCCTGTCCTATCCTATAGCATTGAATTTCCACAATTACTGATATATCTGAGATGACTGCTACAGCTATGAAGGGCTTATGTCTTATAAAGGGCTTCTTTCATTTTTGTTGACCCCCTACTTTAACAATGTTCAGTTGTTATCTATAAAGTTTTAATAGCTACCAGATTGCCAGTCTCATCTCTTGAAGTATCTTACTGGAAGTTCTGGTAAAATCTATCCCCAATGGGTAACCATGGTAGCATTTGAAGTATCAGTGGCATAGCTTCTAGAATCACAGCAATACACAAACCATCAAAATACAACAAATTGACAGGTGCTAGGACTTTAAGGCTGTTGTTAGGTGCTGCCATAATCTTTCATTTAATAAATGAACTACTAAGTGATAATTTTTAATTCATTATTTATTTATCCTTTCAACATGGAGTTATAAAATATTGAGATTTTGTCTCTATCTCTTATAAGCAGTATAAAAATTGCTTACACTCTCTCTTCACTTATATAAAGGAACTGAAAATACCCAGTTATAGATTATGTGAAAAATGTAACAATGGTTTCATATATATAAATTATTTTGTGCAATGTCCAGCACATACAAGTACTCAAAAATTTTAATTATGTTTTCTATTTTATTAAGACCCATTGTTTGAAGATGTTCCACTCACAGTACCTACCTAGGTCTTCCATTTTTAATTTCATACAGGCCATTCTGGCTCTTTCTCTCAACGTGTCCATCCTTTTCATTGAACTTGGGAGAAAAATTTCTTTCACTGTAATAAGAATATCAATGTAAATGAAAAATAATGCATCAATACTACCAAAAGTGTAATTATGCCAGTAAATTTGTTATTTCAAATGATAAATATGTATGTTGTTGTGGTGTACCACAGAGTCAGAACTGACCCATAGCTGACCTTCCAGCAGGCCTTCAGAGGCAGTTAATTGCACGGAAGGAGACTGCCCATTTATAGCATGCCTATAGTATTGCACCACAGCTTCTTGCCACTAAGCCACCAGAGTTCACTTGAATATATATATACATACACTCTTATAATCTTATAGTAGTAATTTCCTTGAAAGTTTTAATTTATAAATTGATCTTCAAAAAATCTAAGAAAAAACCTTTTTAAAATCAAAACATCTTACACTTTCCAAGGATGAGTTCAATAACCCCAATGGAAATGACTATTGGAAGTAGTAGAGCTCCTCTCACATGCTACCAAAACAATCTACATTAATGTAAGCAAAAAAGAAATGGCTTTTGGCACAGTATAGTGATTACTGGCTCCTACGTAGTTCCAAAAATGACACTTCTGATATACTGATACTGATACTGATTCAAGGAGCTCTGTAGCAATGTGTTAAATTGCTAACCAAAAGGTTGGTGGTCTCACTCCACCAGCTGTGACTTGGGACAAAGATGGGAACTCTCCTCTCATTAATATTTACAGTCCCTAAAGTCTGATGGAGGGGTCGTCAGAAAATCACAATCAATTTTATGGCACTAGGTTTATCAGACTTGGTTTACTGATTCAAAGTAATTTTCGTTTCTTCCAATAAACAGTTATGAACACTTTCATCGAAAAGTATTTTTTTCAAAACCTTGAATTCACTCCATAAATGGCATAACAAATATAGAATAAAAATAGATGTGCTACAAATGGCCTAATTCTTATGTAAGTAAAAACTACAAAGCTAGGTAAAAATTTACTGAGTTTTATTTATGTAGTGTTGTTGTTATGTGCCGTCGAGTCGTTTGCGACTCACACTTTATCATATTTCTTTTTGTATTACTTTTATTAAAAAGGAAAATAAAATTTATGTAATATACTCAAATTCATATACATGAATGTTTTGGGGGGATTTTTTGCAATCACTTGTTATGCATCAGAGAATTGGACAATGACTAAGGAGGATAGAAGGAAAATTGATGCCTTTGAGCTTTGGTGCTGGAGAAGAGTATTGAGGGTACCATGGACTGCTAGGAAAACAAACAGATTCATCTTGCAGAGGGTTAAACCGGCTGCTCCTTGGAGGCAAGGATTCTGAGGCTCCGTCTAACATACTTTGGACATGTTGTAAGGAGGGACCGGTCCTTGGAGAGAGACATCATGCTTGGGAGGGTGGAGGGACAGCGCAGGAGGGGAAGGCCCTTTATGAGGTGGATTGATTCAGTGACTGGGGTGATCAGGATGGGTGTATTGGAGACAGTGCGATTGGCACAGGACAGAGCAGAGTTTAGGGCTGTTGTACATAGGGTCGCTATGAGTCGCAAGCGACTCGAAGGCACATAACAACAACTCAAAATTCACTGTCAAGTCAGAAACTATTCATAAAAAAAAAAAAAAAGAAACTATTCATAGGGATCATGTGGTGGGTTTTCATTGGCTATAAATAGCACAGGAGGAGACTGTCCCTCCCCTCCCTGGGGGGATTCAAACCACCAGAGGTGCCACTTTTGTGTTAGCAGCATAACTCTCTGTAGGCTAAGCCATTACAGCTTCCCAGACATAAGGAAAAGGCCTTCCTCACCATCCAGAAACCACTGACATAATTACACTGACAGTGAATTAAAAGCTGTACACCACTAGACAGCTCATAGGTAGGAAAGTTTTCTGACATGGGTTTCCCATTTGCTCTACATTTCTAGTATGTGAACATAAAAATATTTGTTGACTTTGGATAACCTACACGTTTTCTCAAAATTTCAAATTTCAAAATAAGCCACTAAATATTTACACTTTAAAAACAAACAAAAAACCATCACCATAGTTCACTAAATCTTAATTATAAGGTTTGATTTAGTAATTAATACAACAGCAACTTTTTAAAAATAGAAAAAAATTCTATCTCCATTTACAATACACAGTACTCTTGCAAACATAATGAATTTCAATTATACATAGCTCACTGTTATTGGGAGCTCTGGTAGCTTAGTGGTAAGAAGCTGTGCTGCAATCCCAAATGCATGCAGTTTGAATCTACCAGCTGCTCTGCAGAAGGATGAACAAATGCCTCCTGTGTGATTAACTGCCTCTGAAAACCTGCTGGAAGGTTAGCAATAGGTCAGTTCCAACTCGACAGCATAAAACAGTAGCATTGTTATGGAGTGGGAACTCACTCACAGCTGCCCCTCCAGGAGGTTTTTAGGGTTGTAAATGACATAGGAAGACACTGTCTATCTTTCTTTGGAGTCAAGAGCTACTGGCAAATTCAAATCTTTGGGTAGCAGCACACTCCCCCCACCACTAGGCCACCAGAACTCTCAATTTTATATATGTGTATGTATAAATACACTCTCTAAATAGGTAAAAATAGAATTCTTTTAAAGCTAATTATTTCTCCACAAGTTTTATTAAATCAAAGTATTATATTAAAGCTATAAGCACATACTTGGATAGAAGGGGGTAAAAACAAGTCTCGGTCAAAATTATACCTACTTCCAAGTCAGTGATGATATTTAACGGACTACTGAAATAAGACTGGGTCTATCCAAGTAGGCTTGATTTTTTTTCCCTTCATTTTTCTGGCTAAATAATGCCTGAAGTTTCAAATATAAAATAAATCTGCCTAATGAATCACCCTTAACAACTGGCAGGTTAGCAGAGTGTTTAAGAACGTAACTCTAAAGTCAGGCTGAATTCAAGTCCAAGGTATACCAGCTACTAATTCTGTGACAAATTTTCTGTACTTCCACTCATTTTTCTCTGTAGAAGTAACAAGAGTTCTGTCTTGTAGCATGGCTGTAAGGTTAAAAGAATGCTTTTAAAGCACTAAGCACAGAGTCTACCTCATTGTTGGTACACATACATATATGCACACACACAAATCATTATACTTACTATTAAAAGGAAAGCAAGCAAAATGTGAACCAATGAAAGATTTCCATGCTCAGTATTTTTGCTTGAGTTTTTTCCTTTTCTTTTCTCTTGTTATCTCTTTCCTCTTGTGTTTTTGGGTTTTTTTTTTTCCATAGTGCTCTACCCTTATCATTTTATTCTTGGTACAGCTGAAAATTATTTTCACCAATCAAACACAAATATAGCTATGTTGGAAAATAACTACAAAATACGTTCTATTCATAACTCAAAGAAAAGAAACGAAAAACAATACCACCATTTATTATTTCACAAAATAAAAAATGTCATGGCAAAAGAGATCTACCAATTCAGGAGGATTCCTAAAGAGAAAAAAATATAAACACTGACTGTCCAACTTCTACCTTTGGCAAGAATACATACAAATGTGAAAAGCGAGTTGAACATCACTAAGTCAAAATAAAAAATTCCTCTCAGCTGTCAAAATGAAAATTCATAAATACCATCATTATGTTCTCTGTAAGTCTTGTTTTGTCAAATAATTTACTCACCTGATCTGAGGATCAGCCCATCTGGGTCCAGCTAAGACCGAGACAGCAGTGTATTCTACTGGGTTATAGTCTTGCCACTCAACCAGCCAGCCCACTTTGTCATTGGGAACCTGGCTTCGTTCAACTTTGGATCCTGGGTAAGGAGATGTTCGAGCCTTCTTGTGGGAATTCCTTTTGGCATCATGAGAGTCAGACATGATAAAGGAATTAAGATGAAATGAACAAGATGAAAATGAGTTTCTGGGGAGAAAAAAAAAGGAAAAGCGTTTTACATAAATCTGGGAAGAATAAACAAACAAGTTTAGCTCGAGGAGCCCAAAACATACTTTTTTCATTTCAAAGACATTTCAAAATTAGAAAATTCAAATTTGATGCATATTTGCATAAAGTTCCCAAATCTATGAGAAATTATTTTCAAACACAAAAGCTTTATAAACACAGTTAAATCTCAATAAATTTTAAATTTCATAAATTCACTAATTTATTATAGTTTAGGAAAGGGAACAGACCTTTACTTTTGTGTTATCTGTTGCGATGAGAAAGCTGGTTATGCAAATATAAAAATAAATGTAAAAAAACCTGCTTAAGTTTACATAAAAAAATATATATTTTTAGTTTCCTCTTTTAGGCATTATAGAATAATTAGTGCTGGTGGTGGTTACCATCGAGTCGGAACCAACTCATAGCTGACCCTCCAGCTGGTTTTCAGAGACAGTTAATCAAACAGGAAGTTGTTTATCCTTCTCCTGTGGAGCAGCTGGTGGCCTGGAATCATGTGCCTTTAGGATTGTAGCACAGCTTTTTGCCACTAGGACACCAGAGCTCCCTAAAGTAATTAGTACCAGATTAAAAAAAACAAAACAAACTAAAAACTCCCGCAACTACAAAACTGAAGATACAAAATAACATCGTCAGACATCGGACAAGAGGCAATGTAAGAACTCTGTAAGAAGGAAAACAATGAGATGAGTTTATGAATATTATTTTTTCCTTAAGGCATTTTCTGGAATGTGGCAAAGAAAGGGCAACACAAACAGAATTAGGGTCTTAATAAACTTGAAGAAGCAAAGATCAGAGTTTAGGACTACTGAAAGAACAGTACACATGCCAGAAAAGGACACTGAAGAAAAGGGACTCAGTAAATCTTTATAAATTTGTTTTTCATGAGTTTTGAGTCAAATACTAAGTTGCAGACACAGTGAACAAAATACTAAGAAGCTGAGCAACAATGAATCATGGCAGAAAAAAATAACTACTTAGGAAAGAATAACTACCAAGGAAGGAATGGCAACTAGAGCAGTTATAGAGCAAAACAATTACTGGGGCTTAAACAGTGATGCACTGGGCAAATTGGCTGGTAAGGAAAACCTCTTTAATGTCCTAAAGAACTTGGATATCACATTAAAGATTAAGGTGTACCTGCCCCAAGCCATGGTATTTTCAATTGCTTCAGACACATATGAAATCTGGACAATGAATAAGAAAGAATGAAGAACTATTAATGCCTTTGAAGTGTAGTGTTTAAAGTACCACCATGTACTGACAAAAGAACAGATGTGCAACCAGAGTTCTCCGGAGAGTCAGGGATGATGAGACTTCATTTCACATACTCAGGGCATGTTATCATGAGGGACTAATCCCAGGAGAAAGACATCATGCTTGGAAAAGTAAAGGAACATTGAAGGGGACGAATACCCTCAAGGAGAATGACTGACATAGTGCTTCTGCAGCTCAATGAGCTTGAGCTCAGTGGAGATTGTGAGGATGGTGCCGGATAAGGCAAGGTTTTGTTCTGACATACACAGGGTTGCTAGAGTCTAAATCAACTCTAGAATACCTAACACCACAACCACATAGTGATGAGAGCTAGATTTTTGACCAGACAGACTACACAGACCTCAGTAAACACTCCAGCAGACATTCAGTAGAGATCCCAGAAAGCCTATAGCTTAGGTGTAGATTTAACCTGTTGTTGATAGTTGCAGTCAGGGATAAGGAAAGTCAGTATCAACTACTAGGCAAACAGTTCAAATCCACTAGCTGCTCCATGGGAAAAGGATGGGCAATCTCCTCCTGTGCATTACTGCTTTGAAAATCAGCTATGAGTTGGTTCCAACTCTAGAGTACATTACAGCAATATATGCAAAACACCATTCAAAGTGCTTTAATGCATTAACTCATCTGAGTAACACTGCTACCCTGAAGATAGGCACGTTTATGAATTGTATTTTCCCACTTTACCCTGCCCCCTACCATAAAAAAAAAAAATCCTAATCCCTGTTGTAATACTGAGTATAACCCTTTAGGAAACAGGGGTTTTCTTCTGTTAGTAAAGTCATGCCATGATGGATCCAGAACACACACATTTATTCTTTCCCTCCTACACAGAGATAAAAGAAATAACGATGTAAAGAAAGAAAGAAATCCACAGCTGGAAAGAAAGAGGATAGGACACTTGTGAGTGAGAGATCTCAATTTTAGGGAGATGGAAAGAGGCTAGAACCTCACCAACCTACAAAACAAAGAAGGACAAGTTATATTTTAAAATACACCACATTCCCACAACAGAAGTCGTCAGAGTTTTTAAGCTTGAAGTCAGTCGATCCAAAAGCCGTAAATGGGGAAGAATAACCATGGAAATTACCCAGTTCTCCTTTCTCACCCTCCAAACTGAAAAGTGGTAGAAGTTACCTTGGGTTGCTCCCAGGACAAATTAAAAAGTCAAAGAAACTCAAAAGGTTGGGACCCTGCTCGCTTCGGCAGAACATATACTAAAATTGGAATGATACAGAGAAAATTAACATGGGCGCTGCACCAGGACGACACACAAATTCATGAAGTGTTCCATATTTTTTAGGAATAAAGACCGCTTATTTACAATAACAACAAAAACAAAAAACAAAAAAAAAAAGTTAAGACCTCCATCAAGAATATTGATAGAGTATAGCCAAAGTCTAGGAACTTAAAAACTCTAGGATTCACTGTGAGAAAATAAACTTAAGACAGCTTTCCTCACCTGAGAAACTGTTCCAACCCTGCGTAAAGCTGTAATTCCCTGCTCACACATTCTTAACTGGATCTTTCCAGTTGTTTGACCTTTCACATAGACCCACCAACAGTCCCTCTCACACAGAGAAAAGAATGTCTAAAACAACTTAAAGTGAGTAACAAGCACTGCCACTAAACACTTGCGAAAAAAGAAAGTGAAGGGGAAAGGGCAATAAAGTAACAGAACCACTGACCCAAAAGAAACAACTCAGCAAATTCGTAAGAAATTTTATTCAAATTATCAGCTGCAAAAATTCAAAAGCTTTCAATATCCAAAATGCAAGACTCTCATCATCTAAACAAAGCACAATGTATACAACTTTTGTATACAAACCAATATAAAATAAAAACTTTTTAAAAAGAGCAATCAGGGGATAAAAAAATCTTGACAAAATGAAAAATTCAATAAAAGATATGCTTAATTGAATGCACAGGATTGAAGTATGTCTGAAATAGTAATCTGGAAGATAAAACTGAGTAAAGTCTCTATTGCAGTATTAAAAAAATAAAGACAATTTAAAAGTGGGAAATGAGAGAAAAAGAGAAACAGGCTCATAGAAAAGTCCCAAGAACTAACAAGAGTTCCAGAAAAAGACAAGGGGAAAAAATTAATACGCATAAGAAAATATTATAATTGAGGGGCCAAGCAAGAATGAACAAAGAACAAAGAACAATTCCTAAAGCCTATCAATGTCTTCGGTACCATGTTTAAATGGATGAAAGAATAAAAACTGTATAATGTAAATAAGATATAGTGTAAATAAACCATATACCTCTAAGTTTAAAGCTGTCAAATCAAGAAAAAAGGTATTAACATATAGCACTCTGAAAAAATAGGTTTTCCTTATATATCATTTTCAGAGACTGTAAATTGCATGGGCGGGAGACTGCACATCCTTCTCCCAGAGAGTAGCTGGAGGATTCGAAACACCTTCCTTTGGCTTGGCAACGCAACCCAAACCGCTAAGTCCCTACCTCTAAGTCACCTGAGCTCCGTGGAAAGAAGAGGTAGAGGATCAGAATGAAGACTTTTACTCTTCATTTTATACACTTTCAAGGCCAAATGTAGCTCTCTTTATGTAGAAATTTTAATTAAAAATACTTATTAACAACCAGCGTAAAAAAAAGTCATAGATTATTATACAGCTGTTAAACATTTTGGGGGCAAAAATATTGTTAACCTATGAAGGGCAAATTTCAGTTATCAGAAATCAAGAAAGATCCCTACCACTAGTTTCTTTTAAATAGAGAATATATTTAGCACTCTTCTCAGAATAGGTATGGAACGCTAAAAATTCGAGACGCACCAGATCAGAAAGAATCTAGTTCCCACCCCAACCCCATGGTCACTGAAGTTTACACATGGAAGGGGGGATACCTGTATGCTGGGATGCTGCGACAGCTCAAGGACGTGACACTCACAGAAACCAAGGCCACAGAGAGAGATACAGTGGCTAGTGCTTTTCCCAGGACTCTTCTGGCCATCAGCTTCCCAAGGGCGCCTAAGTACAACTAGACCGCCCGCTTTTAAAGGGGGCCGCGGCTTTGGCCCGCCCCAGGCTCGGCCCTGGACACCCAGCGGGCACTAGGACCCAGCAGCCCTTCTGTCGCAGAGGAACTGTGCAACATCTAGCTCAAAAACACACCCCAAGCGCCTTCCCAAAAGTAACAGTTCGGTTCCCTTCCCAGTGCGAAAAAGCGGAATTTAGGACAACAAGTAATGCTGACACTGCCAAGGCCAACAGCCAATAGAGCAGCAACCTAAGACCCAGACGTAATCGGTGCGTGACGACGCTTCGCGGACGCCCATTACTGACGTATTACCTTACGTGAGGCCTCTCTGTTGCTGACGCTGTCATGCTTTGGTTTTTTCCTACTGTTGGCCCAGAGCTTTCCTGGTACAGGTATGGGTGCTTTAGGGGACTCCCGAGGGTAAGGAAAACGTGAAAGAAGAAATGAGAAGAGAGAAAAAGGAAGAAGGAGGAGTGAAAGGATGTTTGTTGCCATTTTATTGTTTGTTTTTCTGAAGAAAGAGGATAGGAGCGGCTGATGAATGAGTCCCACGCACACTTGTTAAACGCGAATAATCCACGATTATGGAAAAAAATCGATTTCTGAAACATAAAACTAAGGTTTTTCCCCCACTATGCCCCATCCTTTGTTAACAGCTTTGTTTATAGTTATTAAACTTCACCAGAATTCTTTGGGTGTGGACGTCGTAAACCTTAGAAGTAAAACAAGCTGTTAAATTGTCTTAACTTGATGCAGGATATAGCTGGCCACACCCTCCACAGTAATAAAACTGAGGCAAAAATTAGCTTAACCTGAACTACACCAATATTATTTGTAACCTGATTCCTCCTCTTTCATCTTCATTATTTATATGAAAAATAAGGACAAATATTGCATAGGGCCATTGTTGTAAAATGGAACTAAATCGGGGTTGAGAGAAGACAGAGGAGGGGAGGAGTGATGTGTATACTGCATTGAAACAGATGAGGGAGAGAACTGTTTAAAAAGGATATATGATTGGGTATTGTCATGACAGGAGTCCAGAATGAAGACTGCTTAGTGGAGTGGACTTGGGGGGAGGGATTGCATAACAGTGAAAGAGTTTCTTTTGCTTTTCAAGGGGAAGAGTAAATTGAGGGGGAGGGGGTGGACAGGGAGAAAAGTGCAACAATGAATGAATGGAAACCCTAAGTCTCTGTAAACTTTCATTAAAATGAATTTTAAAAAATATACAGGGTCTATGCATCTATGTTCATGAAAGATATTGGCCTATAGTTTTCTATTTTGGTGGTGTCTTCACCTGACTTTGATATCAGGGATATATGTTTGCTTCATAGAATGAGTCTGGGAGAATTCTATCTTTTTCTATTTCCTGAAATACTTTATGTAGAATTGGTGAAATATACAAAATGAGTGACCCTGGAAGACATTGTGCTGAGTGAAATACCTCAGTCACAAAAGGACAAATACTGCATAATACCACTGTTCTAAAACAGGACTGACATGGGGGTTGGGAGAGAACTGAGAAAAGAGGGCATAAATAATGAACACTGCATTGAAATAGATGAGGGAAAGAACTGTCTAAAAGAAATCTATGATTGGGTGTTATTTGCATGACAACAGTCCAGAATGAGAGGTGCAGAGCAAGGTGGACTGGGGTTGACGGGAGGGAGGAAATTGCACAATAAAAGAATCTTTTTAAAGAGAAAAGCAGGGGAGCTCTGGTGGCCTAGTGGCAAGAAGCTGCACTGCAATCCCAGAGGAACACAGTTCGAGTCCACCAGATGCTCTGCCGGAGAAGGAGGCACAATATCCTCCTGTACCAGTCAGATCTGATTTGACGGTACACGCACATAAAATAATTAAAAAAAAAAAGAGAGAAAAGCAAACTTGGGGGAGGGGTGTAAGGAGGAAAATGTACAACAATCAATAAATGGAAATCCAAGTTTTCTGTAAACTTTCATTGTTGTTGTTGTTGTTGTTGTTGTTATGTGCCGTCAAGTCGCCTGCGACTCATAGCGACCCTATGTTCAACAGCCCTAAACTCCGCTCTGTCCTGTGCCAATC